TATAATTTAAAGCACAAAGACATTTTCTGACCGGGTTGTATCACAGTTAACTGTACTGGTACATATTTGTAGTCTGATGCATCCTGTATTGCAATTCTTGCCATGTACTGATTGGTATCATTGATGTTCAGGTTTGTGATCTTGAGCCAAGCCTGACCCTTTGACATATCACCAACAAAACTGACTCTTCCTGCGTAACTTGTTGAATTGATCTTTTTATCTAACTGTATTCCATCTGCTTTATTGTATTTGATAAGCCCTTGTTTCAGTTCCTTAGTGTTGCCATCTCGTATTCCCCAGTTGACTCCCACTATGTTGGTAGCATTAACCATGAACACCACATCTTGCCCAACCTCTCTTGTTAGCGGACCAGGACTAGATATGGACACTTTAAAAAGGTGCAAGCAAAAACAGCTAGTTGCAATTACTGAGAAAAATGCGCAGTCAACTAATGAAATATTAGTAATGAAATATATATGCGAAAACACATGAAAATTAGCAAAACACTTCTGTTTATTTACTTAAATAATTGAGGGGCTGAACTCTTATTATTGATTGCATTGTATTTATGTTAGTGGGCCCCCTGTGTTATTAAACAGCGAAGAAAGCAACCGATGAAACGCGACCACCACCAATTCAAATGTCTGTAGTATGTTTCAGGCCTCCCTTAGTTTCTTTATATTTTGGTGGATATAAATATAACCTATTGATTTTTAAAATGAATACCATAAGGTTGTCTAATAATTATCGTTTAAACTCAACTAATTTTTCATGACAATTAAATCAAAATAAAGAACTGCATTTCTCTTCAACTTACCAACAGGCGGAAATAATTGTACAATCAGTGCTATACAGCTCAATGAAATTACATACATGTTTTGTTAAAGGGTTTATCGCTCTTAAATTTGAGTTGTGATCGTTTTTCCAGTATATATCAGGCGATATGTGAATATTATTGCACATAAATAAATCTGTTCTGATTTGTCTGCTTTTTGGTGCCTTTTGTTTAAGTATTCTTCGGTGTAACCTTTTCTAGAGGTTAAAACTTCTGTAAATGTTTAGTTGCGTGACGTGCTGCGGCCAAAGTGACAGTCACATCCTTTTCCTACTGGAGTCCAATAATTCCTATACGTTTTAACCTGTGCTATGGTGTTTGAATATAATAAGCAGTAAGAAGAGACTAAGATCAAAGTATATTGTATAAAATTAGTTGCGTGATCCCCAACATCGATAAAAAATAAATAAACTAAAGGATATATTAATATAATGGGTCTAGCATTAATCCCTTAAGCTTGTTTCAGATCGTCTTTGTTCTCCTTTTTCAGTTCTACAAATGCTGGTCAAAGTATGACATATCTAAGACAGTGGCTTTTACCTTGTTTATTGATCTTAGCTAGAGTAGTTTTATGGCCTGATTATAATCGACAAGGGCTGTTGTAAACCGTAAAAAGCTATGTCATGCTTAAATTAGATCAAACAGGTTTTTTTAAATCATATATTTATATATTTATTATTTTCATTATTATTTCAAACACAAACATAACAAACAACATTACAAATAACACTAATGCTAAATATAAGTCTAATACTAGATCAAACATATAATACTAATAATTGATCAAACATAGATGAAACATATATAAAACTGCTTCACCACCATTAATATTGTATTCATCGTACCTGTTACTATCAGCTGTGTTGTTCTTCTTGGGTTCTGTCCCGTATTTAAAACCAGCAAACACGAATATTTCTCATTATCGTGTTTGGTCACATTTGAGATGACCAGAGTAGCAACAGATTCCTTGCTGAGTCGATGTCTCAGTCTTCCTGGACATGATGGTGATATATACCACCCCCATTGAAGTTTTCCACTTATAAAATTTAAGGCATCAGCAGCAATGCGAGTCTTGTTAATATTGTTACTGTAATACCATTCTGGGGACGTTGTAAAAAACTCT